TCTCTCTCTCTCTCTCTCTCTCTCTCGCTCTGTGTCGTTGACTACTCTATGCAGGCTCTGGCCAGCATGAGTCTGAACACGCAGCCTATTCTAAACCTGGAGAAGTTTCAGGATGGACAGGAGTTGTCTTTATTGCCCCCCAGTCGTGACAAAGCCTCCCCGTCCTCCACTGAGTTCAACCCACTCATCTATGGCAATGATGTGGACTCAGTTGATGTTGCCACAAGGTATGAAGTATTGTAAACTGTATCAAATGTGACGGGAATGAGTGGTTGGTAGAGTTGCTATGTTAATAGTGTGTGATTTTGGTGCAGTTTGAGGTACCTAAATGAAGCTAAAAATAATGATTCTTATGGAAGCCCAGAACAGCCATAACATTTGTTTGTAGGCTTCCATAAATTTCTAAACAATCAATGGGTCTCATTCACTAACCATGTATACATACAAATTTGTCTGTGGTATCTGCATATCACAAACGCTTTCACGAACAAAAACGCTTTCATCAATAACTTTCATACTAATTTTTTTTTTTTTTACGATAAAAGCAACTCCTTAAATTGTTTGGCCATGTTTTATGCAAATTACTGTCCTTGGGTGTTCTGTCACTCATTTGGAATACTTAATTCATTAACATTAGAACAAGGTTAAGAACAAATTCATGTGCGGATGCACATTGTGTAATTTTTCATGAGAGGTTTTCCTGTGTGTATAAATATGAATAATCCACACAGTTATTAGTGAATGAGACCTGTTGTTTTTGTTAGTGGTGCAGAAAACACAAAATTTGAACCAAGCCAAAAGAAAAGACTAATATTTGTACCATTCCACCGTATAATTTACATGATAGAAATGCATTATTATTTTGATCTTGCCGTTAGGGTGGCGATGGTGAGGTTCTTCAACTCTCCAAATGTCCTGCAAGGGTTCCAGATGCATACACGCATTCTGCGTCTCTTCCCCCGTCCTGTGGTGGCATTCCAGGCCACATCTTTCCTGGCTTCTAGGCCGCGGCGGAATGGATTCACCGAAAATCTCTCCCATACCCAGGCGGTGGAGTACTATGGAGAGTGGGCTCTCAACCCCACCAACCTGGCTTTCCAAAGGATTCATAACAGTGAGAGACATAGATATACCTCATCCTTTGTCCTTAAGTTGCCTTTTCTTTGACCTCCAGATTTGATTGTCAGAGTTCGCCCCCTAGTGGCAGTTGTGATGACTTCTCAATTAGATTTCAATTTGTGAACACACCGACAGTAAGAGAATTTACCCTCTGTTTATTGACCATGGTGGAATAAATGAATAATGTATGCATAGTTGTCCATATGCATGATTGCCAACACTTTTAGAAGGACATATTAGGGGTTGCACAATGCTAAAATGTTGCACAATGTAAAAAATTATTTCTGACTTTATTCATATCCGCCCATTTAGGTTTCCTGCATGTTCGGTCTTTTCGGTGTGCAAAGTAATTTAATTTCTATTGAATTCTAATCTGACTCCATTTTTTTATGAGCTCGAATTTAGGTTGAGATGTCAATTGATCATTAGTCATTAGAATAATAATTTTCTAGAATAATTGTCTATCCTATTTAATTGCTGTTTTGATTGTACTTGTTCATTTGGATTCCGTTAGCGGACCTCACGGTCACATACTTGCCAGTCTTGGTTATTAGACAGAGGTCATTGACTAATATGGCCGCTCCTATGATGGCTGGTTCTAAAAGTACTTTTGTTTAGTCCCCTTAGATCTGTACACACTTGAATAAAGCCATATTATCTCTAGTCAGAGGTCACGACCACTACTAAGATATAAGCCAACCAACATTACTTTCTCTGTTAGTAGCTTTGTTTTGGTCATGCCATGGTTTCCCATGACGTACACTTAGCTAGAGTAATATTACAGTAAAGGTGAGGCTCACCCTATTTAGGTTGGTCGAACAACATTCAGTTGACCTAAACGGAAATTCCCTTTTAGCCCTTACAGGCTAAGTAAACTTGAACGAATACCAAGTGTTAGCCAGATCTCTAAATATCCAGTTGGTGTGCCCCATGCTCCATATCAACTCTATTTCTGTTACTAACCTGATGCAGAAATGTGGTAACATGGATACTTGTCACACTGAGACAATTCAAATGATACCAAACACGACTGTGAATATCACTTGCATTCATGTAGAACATTATATTATGCTATTGACCATTCTGAGTGAGCTGAGTGAAGGGAAAGATGGGTGAGGGGAAGGAAGTGGATGATAGGTGAGAAAGGAGTTTTCCTTTATCTTCTCTCAGTGAGATGTGGAAACAGATGTCTGTATGTTAATGCACTGTGTTTGTATTGTCCATATCTCAGAAGATCAAAGTGTCTGAGGTTCTTCAAGTCTTAGTACATTATATATATTTATGTATATAATATGCAAAACTAAAATCAAATCTCAGGTCTGCAGAGGGTGAGAACTCTTCAGTTGTGACTTCCAGTCTAATCGCTGTTGTTTGTTGCTGTGTAAATGCAGCTTTACACTTACCTGCATGTAGTTTTACTATAAAGACTGTCCATTATGTGTTTCCCACTTTGTGTGTAGTCAGTAATTATACTGTGTGTGTGTTTCAGATGTGTATGACCCCTCTCTAATAGGCGATAAGCCTAAGTGGTATGCCCACCAGTTACAGCCAGTATTCTACCGTGTGTATGATGGAAACTCTCATCTGGCGGAGGCGTTGAGTGGACCCCTGCAGGATGAGACCAATGATTCAGACCCAACAGATGACAGGTTGAAAACACCCAATACACACTCATACTTGCAGTACTCCCTAACACACATAGACCTTCATACACATTCATATCAACTCATGCACAAATGCTATTGATTCTTTTTTTACATATTTAAAAGTCTGGATTCAGTAGTTTTCAAAATAGTTTGAGTAGTTTGTTTGTTTGTTTTAATGAAATGACTCATTTTATTTAGCTAGCAAATATTTTCAGTTGATCAAAAATAAAGCTTTTTATAGTGTAAAGATTTTTAAAGATTAAAAATAGTAAAGATTTACTATTTTTATAGTGAAGATAAAGATTTGTATAGTTTCAGTAAAGATTTTTATAGTGTTACAAAAGATTTATATTTTTAAATAAATGATGTGATTTTGAACTTTCTGTTCATCAAAGAATCCTGAAATAGTTTCCACAAAAATATTAAACAGCGCAACATTTATAATAAGAAGAAATAAGCACCAAATCAGCATTTTAGAATGATTTCTGAAGGATCATCTGACACTGAACACTGGAGTAATTTTATATATATTAAAATAGAAAACCTTTATTTTAAACTGAAATCCTAAATTCTAAAAGCAATATTACTGTTTTTAACTGTATTTTTGATCAAATAAATGCAGTCATAGTGAGCATAAGACACTTCTTTCAAAAATATTACAAAAATATACCAACCCCAAACTTTTGAACTGTAGTGTATTTTTTACATGCGTACATTTTTTGTGTTCAAGCTGTTTTTGTCTATTTTAAATATAAATTTGTATTTATTTGTTATTGGGGATTGTTTATCTCAGTGGCAGTGACAGTGAAGCATACGATGACTCCAGCTCTTCCTACTCATCTCTGGGAGACTTTGTGAATGAGATGATCAAAGGGGACATACAAGGGGACACACCAAGTAAGCTTCTCCATTTTTAATCTCTTTCCTGACAGCATATTGTATTAACTTTTTACCTGATCACTCTGTAAAGAGAAATCTTGATTAAACTCAGAAGTGTTGAGAAGTTCAGCTTCATCATTTTTATGTTTACACTCTTTCTTTAGATGTTGACACTCTGACACATGCTGCGCTGGGAGACGCGAATGAGGTAGAGATCCATTACTTCCAGGAGTATAAGGGGGACAACCGTGACCCAGAGCCAGAAGGCCCCCCAGAAGCAGCGGACAGTCAGCCACTGCGGTCCAGCTCCAGCACGACGGCCAGTTCCAGCCACAGTACAGTCTTACAGGGAGTCAACCATGTCAGTGCTCAGACTACATGTTATCTGACTCTAGAGGTAAGCATCATGTGCTGTGATCTCTAAAGTGTGTGTGCTGCTTTGTGTAGGAACAGAAGGAACCCGTTGAGGTGGAGGCGACCCTCCAGAACTCTGTCCCAGGATTGGGAGCTCCACCTTTTACAAGACCCACTCCTGATCCGGTTCCTGTTGACCCAGCCAATAAGAAGAGAGAGTATGATAATCCCTATTTTGAGCCCCAGTATGGCTTCCCTTCAGAGGAGGATACTGAAGCAGATGAGCAGGAGGAGAGTTACACACCACGATTCAACCAGAATCTCAATGGCAACAAGTTTGTACTCAGTCAATACTTGGAGATAGTCCTACACAAACACACATAATCTATATCTCAGCTGCACAGACCAGCTCTCAACATCCTCTCCCTGAATTGTGTGTGTGTTTAGACCATCTCGGCCATTGAGACCCAGCAGTCTGAAGCTTCCGGGTGAATCTGATGGGGAGGGAGACTCCAGAAATAGCTCTCCAAACTCCACCATCTCCAACAATAGCAACGATGGCTTCGGGGGACTCATGTCCTTCGCCAGTGAGTGGCCAGCTTAACATAACCTCTATTCATTCCTTAGTAGCTCATGCTCACATTGCAAATTTGGACATAAAAATATATTATGCTGATTTTCTTAAGCACCAAATCAGCATAATAGAATGATTTCTGAAGGATCATGAAGACTGGAGTAATTGCTGCTGAAAATTCAGCGTTTCCATCACAGCAATGAATTACATTTAAAAAATCTTTTAAAATAGATTATTTAAAATTGTAATATTATATTATAATTAGGAATTATATTGTAATAATTATTTTACATCATAATAATATTTCACAATAGTACTGTTTGTACTATATTTTTGATTAAATTAATGCAGATTTGTTGAGCATAAGTGCCTTATTTAAAAAACATTAACAAATTTTACCAACCCCAAACCTTTGAGCGGCAGTGTATATAAATATTTCATCTTTAAGTATCAGAAAGAAAATCTTCAGTGGTATATTAACTTTTGCTAAGGGTTTGATCATTGTAAAATTTCACTAGTATTAAGTAGGAATGCAGCGATTAACCGGTTTCGCGATTAACCGCACTTTAAAACGTCAAGGTTAATTAATCGTAAAGGTTCCTCTAAACTGAGTGTTTCTGTTACACGGAACGGAACTGTTGCAGCTTGCGCAAAACGAAAAAAGTTACACTAGCGGTGCACCAGCTTAAAATGACGTGCTTATCAGAGGCACGGAGGCTACTACATGCATTAGATTAACTGTGACAGAGGGACCAAACAGCGAAGCTTTATTTCCACCAGAGAAATGCTTGTCGATAGTGTGGGACCATTTTGGGTACACCAAGAATGACCAGGGTGTCATTTAAATATTGCTGTAAAAAACTGCTGTTAAAGAGCGAATACATAAGGGATAATGCACGGCTTGCTGTACATTGAACGATTTTAATGCACGACGTGAAGGCAAGAACCACCTGACGCACCTTAGCTCAGCATTCTGCCCACTTCAGATCAGAAAGAGATGAAATGCGGACATTTATTTGAATTAATTAATTATAACATTTAGCTACTTGAATTAATTATTCGAGAGAGAGAGAGCGAGAGAGAGTGACAGTTGCCTGTGTGAATTAGCCTACCTGCGTCTGTGCGTCTCTCCAGTAGGCTATTTAATCTATTTTATTAATAAAAGTCACGGGGCAGCATTCTCAAAAAGTTTGTGTCCTCCTGAATGTTTGTACACGTGCACAGCGCGATCTCCGATCTCACAAACCAAAATAATAGACATGATTTTCTCAGGCCACATGTAAAATCATATGAATTATTATAAAGATTATTAAAATGAACACGTATGGATGACAGTTGAATACAATATTTCAGTTTATTTCCATCATTAGTAACAGTTTCCCCTCTGGGACAAATAAAGTTAATATTAGTCGTATATTAATAATAGGCTACTTCATTAACTTTATTTACTGTCCCTGTTGTAGTATTATTCATAAGTAAAAACCAACAATATTTTTTTTCACCATGTTTCCAAATTCTCTACCCCAGGTCCAAAAGAAATGTAAAGAATGTACAAACTGAAAACATTAAATACTTTTGTGATCTATTTCCATTTGTTATTTTCAAAAGAGAAATACTGTCATGGATGTTAACAGAGCAGAGGTCACCTTTTTTTAATTCCAATGGGAGAGATGGACTTTTGTTTGTCTTTTGTTTATTATTATTTTGTGCTGTATTGTTGGTTACTGTGTTATTTCTGTTTCAAAAGCCAGCAATAAATAACCAGTGGTGGACGAAGTACACAAATCAAGTACTTAAGTAAAAGTACAGATACGTATAGTCAAATATTACTCCAGTAAAAGTACTCCTTTTTCAGTTTTACTCGAGTGAAAGTACAAAAGTACTTGATTTTTTATGTACTTCAGTAAAAAAGTACTGATAGATAGATTTATTTAGCAATTGTATATAGGCTACTTAATTACATTTTATATTAGCACATATTTTCTATAATCCTACTGCTCAAAATACCTGTTATTTTCCCAAAATAACCACTATATGGAGTCAAGCTATATTTTTGTTGTTGATATGGACTACGTTGACGAGAGTGATGTAGTAATGTTCACTATGAAGTTTACACTGCGAAGTACCTGAGAGAAAACAGATTTGACCGTCTGATTTTCACCAGTAAGAAAAAAGTGTTTAAAAGCTTGTTGTTTTGCAGAACATCACAGTTATATATGACATGAGATTAAGGCCTGAAGTTAGGAAGAACATTTTAAGGAAAATATAATTATATTTTCATAGTGATTTTTTTATTTAGTCTGTGTTATTTTAATGTTTCGTTTTTGTTTTTTTTACCTAAAACATAGAGACACTGATGTAGATGTGTTTGCATTCAAGCATTTCAGTGGGCTTAAATAGATCACCCTTTACAGCAGATTTAGTTCACAGACAACTGAATTTTTATTTTTTTTAGCAGCATCAGTCGCGTGTGCGCTCACAAGATCTCCTGGTTCTTGTGAATTCAGTTCACTGTCGACTCGAGAACAGCTGCTATCGGTTCATTCTAATGAATCGGTTGGTGCGATTTGCGAACCGATTTAAAAGGTTAATTGAAAAGAATCAGTTCGTTCTTGAATCAGACACCGCTTCTGCGTGTCAGAGCACGTGATATATTATAAGGATATCTAAAGAGTGTTCATGTGATTTTATACATTAGTAATCTTGGGAAATTAATAAATGCATAATAATCGTCATAATCGTAAAACCGTGATTATTCCTCAGACAATAATCGTACCAACAAAATCTATAACCGTTGCATCCCTAATATTGAGACTGACTATTGAAATTTCTGGTATTGTTGCTGCATTACACACAAACGTGTGTTCTCTTTTATATGGTTCACCTTAATCGTATGTGTGCAGGTAACCTGTATAAAAACCATGGCACCAGTTTCAGTCTGTCCAGTTTGGCTCTGCCTAATAAAGCACGAGAGAAGAACACGCCGTTCCCCAGCCTCAAAGGTACATACATCCCCTCAGATCTCTCCATGTGACCTTCCCACTCATCCACCCATCTCGCCCTGTCTCATTCCTCCAGTCTAATCCAGTTATCTTCTCCTCCTCTTCTTCTTCTCCTTCTCTCCAAACCCTTTCTTTATCTTTCCTTTCCCTGTCTTCTTCTTTCTTACCTCCGTCTTTACAAAGACAGTGCTATTAATGGTTGAATCACTCCAATTAGACAATCTTGTTGTATTACCTCCACTAAATTCAAGTAATTTAAAGGGGCCATATGATGCGATTTCATGTTTTCCTTTGTCTTTGGAGTGTTAAAAGCTGTGTGTGCATACAGAAGATCCATAAAGTTGCAAAGATTAATGTCTCAAACCCAAAGAGATATTCTTTATAAAAGTGAACGCTCATCCACGCCCTCCTAAAACGCCTCGTTTAAACACTCCCGCACATATCTACATCACTGTGTGGGACGATTTGCATAGCACCGCCCAAATGTATACGCAAAGAAAGAAAGCATAAAATGTATTCTCGCTGTAATATTGTTGGCCACCATGTCGTGGAGATGCTGTGTGTTTCGTTGCAAAAGCCAAACTACTTTGTTTGGCCTTCCAAAAGAGGATACAACTAGAAGTGCATTTTACGGAGGAAAGTTTCCTAAACTTGATAAGGGGCGTAACATTTCCGTCACACGCTTGAGGTATCCGGCCAATCACAACACACTAGATAGCTGGCCAATCACAGCACACTGCGCTTTTCAGAACGATGAACTTTGTAAAAATCGACGCGTTTCAGAAAGGCGGGGCATAGAGGAGAAACAATAATGTACAGTATGTGGAAAGTGCATTTTACGGAGGAAAGTTTCCTAAACTTGATAAGGGGCGTAACATTTCCGTCACACGCTTGAGGTATCCGGCCAATCACAACACACTAGATAGCTGGCCAATCACAGCACACTGCGCTTTTCAGAACGATGAACTTTGTAAAAATCGACGCGTTTCAGAAAGGCAGGGCATAGAGGAGCAACAATAATGTACGGTATGTGGAAAATAATGCGTTTTTTTAACCTTAAACCGCATAAACACATTGCATTACACCAAATAATGTTCTTTTTAGCAACGTCATATGACCCCTTTAAGGGTCAGATAAGCAGATGTTAATTCTACTTCAGTAATAGTTTAGGGAAAAGTAACTATGTCTGTTTATTTCAGGCATTAGGTTTAGAAAGACTCCAACCTCAGCTGTTTAAAAGGAATGTTTCTTCATCTTAGTTGACTAGTTTTCATTTTTCTACTTTTTTCTCTTCTTCGTTTATAATTTGTTTTATGAATTTCTTTTAAAGAATATTTACATTTTGATTTAACAGAGGACACAGATCAAGGTTTGTGGAAATGTTGCCTGATTTCTTTGCCCTAACCCACATGTCTTTTATCCAGTGTTGCTGCCCAGAAAGTGACCAGTATCTTGCCTCCTCTTTGCACTGTGAAGAAACAGAAAGGTGTAGACATATAGTCACTTTCTAAGCTAGCAACCACAGTTCTTATAGCTGCTGTTGTTATTGTTGACTTTATTTTCTGTTTGTTTATGATTTTGGATGATTGTATTGCTCAGACGATGCTGATGACAGTCCTGAGAGTCCTGGTATGTTTCATATCTCTATCCTGCCCTAATGATGAAACCAGTTGCTGTTGATAGAAATATAGACCCTTTGAGTCCTGAGAGAATGAGAAACTCTGCCCACTTTTCTCACTCTGAACCTGACTGACAGACTTGCATTGGTTCCTATCTCCTGTCCTGGATGCTTCCTTTTACACCCCTGCATCTGAACTATAGCGCCAAACAGCACTTGTCATGAACTGATAATGTGTGCTATTTCAGGGTTGGAAAATAAAATCTCGTTGGACAGCAGTTTGGAACCTCTAAGATAGAGGATATATCTGTGCTCACATATATCCACTATGCCTTTCCTTTTCCTCGTTCCTATTCTGTGATTATTAGTAATGAACATAATAATGGTGGCACCACTTAATAGACAACAGCCAGTTTGTGGTTGCATTTCGAAACATTTTTCTTTCTATACAGAAAGGATGTTTCTGTAGGAATGGAATGATAATGATTTTTGACTGCTCTTTGTGTCGTGTGCGGTGTGTTTTTGAAGTGATCTTTCCTTCATTTGTGTGTCATCTCAATTGGAGACAGAGTTGAGGTCTGTTCCATTTAAATTCCAACTGAACTTCTTGGATGAATTGAAGATAACAAAACCATTACAGTACATTGTACATTTCAAGCTCTGTTCCGCTTCAGAACTGAAATGTAGTGTCTACTAAACTTGGATGATGGGTTTCCACCAAAGTCTCGATAAAGAAGACTTTGAAATCTGGTGGTTGTGTAGGTGTTTTAAGATAAATCGGTGATATGTCAAGGATTGTAGCTTGTATGCACAGATATTGTGCTGCTTTAAGCAGAGCGGCAGTGATGCTGCTTTTTGAGCTGGGTACAGGAGAAAACCAATAGAGCTCTCCAGGGGAGGCCAAACCATTCCAGCTAGCATGTTGACTGGTAATGATTTTTTTTCTTTTAATGTTCAGTGAACACACAAGCACACCCCTTTTCAGAATAGTTTCACTGCCTCTATTGACCAGACAGTCCTTCCAGTGGTTATACTCTGCCAATTTGAAGAAGGTGCTATTGGCCTTGTTTTCTTTAACAATAAACAAAAATCAATTTTATGTAATGTTGTTAAAAAATGTGCCCTCTTTGCTATTTCCAATAAGTAATTTTCTGCTCTTTTCAGAGTTTATATTCCTCAAACAGCATCAAAATGTACAGGGTTTTCAAATACAGTATACTATGTAATATAACAATATTAAGCAATGAGTTATGACTATTCTGAATTTTAAAACTCACACTGAGAGGAATGAATCTAGATTTCATGTCATGTTGAATGTGGTAATTCCTTTAAAGTTGTGATGAACCAAAAGGAGCAGCATCTTTTCTTCTGGATTGTACATCCAAATGTAATGGATTATCAGAAAAAAAATGTTTGAATGGGGACTTGGTTCTATTGAGTCTTGAGTCTTTTAATAATTGAAACATGCACAAATGAATTGTTCAAGTTAAGATGAATAACATGCATTTACAAAATAGATTTCATGGCAACTTTTAAAATAAAAATATTTAAATTCCTTTATATATTATTTATTATTTAGGGCTGAAACGTTTTTATAATATTACTGGTTATATTAGCCATGGTATCTGTTTAGTTTTTGTTATTTTCATGAATGGAGTTTTGTAGAATAGCTTCATTCTATCATTAATCAAATGTAATCACAGTTAATCAAGACCTCCCAAATCACAAGCTATTCTGACCAAATGAAAGTCTGAAATGCTTGTATCTTTCTGATTTCCGTCTTTCTCTCGTTTTTTTCTTTCTCTTTCTCTTTTTTCCTTTCTGTCTCTCTCTCTCTCTCTCTCTCTCTCTCTCTCTCTCTC